GCCTCCCCGTCCCCACCCCTCCTGGCCCCGCGCGGCCAGGCCTGAGGCCCCGAGGAAGGACAGCAGAGGCCGGCGGAGTGCCCTCGGTTTATTAGTGTCGCGTCAGCACCGTAAAGTCGTCCACAGGGCCGCGGCCGACCAGCGTCTGCTTGGAAAAGCTATTTACACGAGTCCCGCTCCCACGGAAGCCGGACGGGACTGACAACACACACACCCTGGAGGCCGCCGGCGCGGGCCGGCTCCGGGAGGAAGCGGCGGACGTTCTCGGGAGGACGGAGGACGGAGGCTGGAGGCGGTCGGGTCTTCCAGGGTGGACGACAGTGGAAGGGGTGACCCCTGCAGGGAGGTGCGGCTGGCCCGCCCAGTGGGGACGGCGCCCGAGGGAAGGCGCGTGTCCGCGGCACCGTGCGCTGGAGTCTGCCCACACCACGGAGCCAGCAGGCCAGGCCAGAGGAGCCGGCGAGGCCCACTGCCCCGTGGCTGGGCAGTGCTGAGCCTTTAGGACAGGGGCGACCTCAGGGCTGAGGCCCGAGGGCACGCACACCTCACGCACTCCCCACGGTCCCCAGCTGCTACACTGGCCATCAGATGGCTTTGGCTTCCAGTTGTCCTTCTAGGGGGACAAAGTGCTTTTCCACAAATCCTCAAAATAGCTCCATGAGGTAGGCAGGGGAAACGTGACCATCCCTCTTTAAAAACTGATGGGGAAACTGAGGCACAGAGGGGTGACTGTAGCCCAGGTGTCTTGACAGCACCACCCCCAGGCACAGGGCATGCTGTGACGGTGGCTACGTGATGTTCAATTGCTAGGCTGTGCGGGCAAAGCCCAGGGCCAGCTGCTGGACAGAGGTTCTGCCCGTGCCCTCCCCTTGTGTGTACAAGGCCAGTGAGATGTGTGTGCAGGAGGGAAGTCTCCAGGAAAGGGGCTGCTGGTAGCCAGGAACTGAGCTAGCTCCCTGTTGTCTTGACTCTAGAGAGCCATGTCAGATCCTTCTTACCAAGGCCCACGTTTTATAGCGGCCAGATCGGATCAGATCAGCCCTGCCCCCACCCCCGTCCCCCATTCCTCAGTGCAGTTCAGCAGTGTCCTTCATCTGGCATTCTGTTCAGGCCACCCAGGGATCTAGAGCCAACCCAAGATTCCAGCCCCAGCCCCAGGGTCCTCACTCTGGAAAAACAAGCCCTATCTATTCATCTACCTGGGAGGAGGGGAGCAGGCATTAATGCAGGTAGATCTCAGTTAAGAAAAACAGGCCACCTCGCACCTCAGAAAGCGGGGACTCCTTTGTGACTTGGCTTGGCCTGCATTTGGCAGTCTGAGCATAGCCTCGTGCAGCTCTTGATCTTAGGACACTGGCTCAGAACTTCCCTGTGGGGTACACCGGAGTCCCTGGGAGGGTTACTGCCACCAAGGGAATGGAAGCCAGGTGGGGACTCCAGGGTGTGGGCCTTGCTGGGAGAAGGATGGGTCTCGATGCAGCTCAGCATACCCTTTCTGGCAGAAGGCAGGGCTGCTACCCAGGAGGAAGCCCAGGGCAGGCGTGTGGCTTGCTCCCAGAGGCTTGGCCTGGAGGGGTCTCGGCTCCGTGTCCTGCCTGGCTTCCGCACTCAGGCCAGCCTGCTCTAGCTCTCATTGGCCATCTTGTTGCTGTAGGCACCATATACATATTTGGCTCTCTGTATCTCAGTTCACCATGTGGCCAGTTCTGGGTGCTCTTGTCTAGCAGGCGGGGTAGGGGGTGGGAGGGCACAGCAGATGGGACTTCAGGGAGACCCCAGCTTTCACTTCCTGTTTTCCAGTCCAGACTCGAGGACATTTGCAGGGACTACACAGGGCTGTGCAGATGAGTCTGGGGCAGCAAGATAAACAGAAGACTAGCAGTGCCTTAGCAACCAGAGCAGAGAGCAAGGCGGGGGGTGGGGGTGGGTTCCACTGGCTCAGCCCAGCCTCGAGGGGACTTCATGAGAGCAACATGTTTGGCAGCTACGTCGGTAGTTATATGTCTTTGAGAGCATTAGAAAGATCTACTGTAAAACTTCCACCGTAAGGCTGGACGGAGCCAGGGTGGGAGTGGGGTATCATCCCACACAAGGGGCAGAACATGTCCATGGTCTTCAGCCTCCGGTCACCAAGCTCCACAGCCTGTGCCTACCAAGGGCTCCCCGAGGAAGTAGCATCCTTGCTTCCAGGTACGACAGGATTCAAAGGCAAGAACCCTCCTTCTTGCAGGCTCTAGGGGCTCCTGAGACCAGATGCACTTCCCTCAGCTCTCCAGCCTCTCACTCAGCCAGACTTTCAGGTTATTAAGCAGAGCAGTTACTAGGCACCCATCAGAGAGCTACCTGTCCCTCAGTTTCCAGGCTCTGAGCACATTCATACTTAAGACTGTTTCTTTGTGTTTTAAGGGTCTGTCTCTGTAGTAAACAAGTGTTAACAGAAATGCAGCTGCCCCTCCAACAATGGCCACCAAGGGCAGGACAATTTCCTCCACTGTCCTGTGCTGGCCCCTCCATGGGTGGAGCTAGAAGGTGGCTTTGGAGTGTCCGAAGATGCAGATGGGGAAGTGCTTCACATGTGAGGACCACTGGGCAGCCAGCTGGAAGAACTTGACATCGCTGCATTCCACGCCATCGATGAGGACTGTGGAAGAGGGCTGCCTGATCACCTGCCCACCCAGTGCTTCCCGAGGACCCACCCAGGAAGGAAGCCCCACTCACAAGCCTTTTCTTCCCTCTGCCCTCCCAGACGCAGGCCATCACAGGCTGGTCTCCCAGGGTAGCACACAAGAATGTATAAGCCTGGCCTGCACATCATCCACATTACATCCTTCTCAGGTGTGAGACATGGCAGGCCCCATTAAAAATGCCTCCACTTAGATGTCCAAATGCCAATCGATGGCTCATACCTCTAACCCAGCTACTCAAGAGGCTGAGATCTGAGAATCTTGATGCAAAGCCAGCCTAGGCAGGAACATCTGTGAGACTCTTATCTCGAATTAACTAACAAAAAAGCTGGAAGTGGAGCTGTGGCTCAAAAAAGCTCAGGCCCTAGGACCAGCACCAAAACAACAATAATCACTTGGAAATCACCATGGGAAGACCAGGGTGACCAAATGCTGCACCTTGGGACCTGGACTAACAAAGCTAAACCCTGAGCTCTGTACTCTGCACACCCTTCATGGGACACTTTGAAATATACATGTCCATCTTAAAAACTCAAAGGAGACTGCAGTGTGGCTCAAGTGATAGGGCAAGTCAGACAAGCACAAGGCTGATTCCTAACCCTAGTATCAGCCAAAAAAATAAACAGAATAAACAAACTCAGGACTAAAAAGTTACTTGACTTTGAAAAGCTGCTAGATGCATGCAAGAGCCTAATCGGAATGTGTTCTGAGCATGAATTATACAACATGCCCTTCACAGCAAAACAGAACTGATTGCTCTTCTGGTTCTGAAAAGCCATCTCGATCCATTCCACCCCTGGTTTGCATAGAACCAGGTGGGACTCTGGGTCACAGACTGTCCCTGGGCACACCACAGCCCCTACCCCGCCACCGAGCTCACCCCGCAGCATGTTCTGCTGGTGCTTGGCTGTGCAGATCAGGCGGCTGATGCCCTCGATGCACTGGCTTTTGGACTCCACATCCCTGTCCTTCGTTTTCTTAGGCAAAAACATCACTGGGAGGAAAAGGGTCGTGCTATGGTCCCGCTGCTGCTTCAGGGCCAGGCTAAGCTGGAGCCCCATAGTAAGCAGGGTAGGAAGGCAACAGTTGGAGGGAAGAGGACTCAGCTGGCCCAGCCCTCAGCCCCCAGCTCACCAGGGGTGGCAGCTTCTTGCTGTGGCCACAGACAGCACCTTTCTGTCTGCCCAGAGGCTCTCCACTTGGGGGCCAGAAGCCGCTCAGACCCTCCAGGCTTAGGGGCTGCTGCTCTCTGAGCACATCTGACCAGCCCCCCTTTGAGGTCAGCCATAGGCAAGTTTATTGGGAACTTGCTGGGGATGGCACTCCCGACCCCAGCCTTGACCACGGCTGCCCCTCTCCCACCGTCTACCCTGCTCAGCACTCCCCCCACCTCACCCTTCTTGTTCTTCTCCTTGGTGACCACAGTCATGGACATGGTGGGGGTGGTCGCAGCCTCACCGCTGCTGGGCAGCCTGCTGACCTGGAGGGACCGGAAAGTGCACTTGAGCGTGTTTTTGGTGGTGGGCAGGTCCTTCTTCTCGGCATCTCTCTTCCTGTCTGTGGGTTGGGTTGCTGTCCAGTAGTCCACCTGTAGCCCCATGAGCTCAGCGCCGACACCCTGGCTGTGAAAGGCAGAGGAGAGAGCTTGCACCGTGTGACCGAGTGTCACGTCTCACCCCAGGCAGAAGTGTGGGCGGCAGCTGCTCCCCCAACCTGGGGAAAATGAAGTGTAAGGTGCCCTTGGCACCATCTCCTCTGTGCCTCAGCCCCAGCACAGGTGCAGTGCTCAGACAGCCTGCCCAGCTGCTTTCCAGGGGTAGTGTGAGCTGCCGGCTGAGAAAGCCTCACCTGGGCCTCAAGGCCTGTACGGCATGAAGGACAAATGCTACCAGTGTGATTTGCTGTTTGAGTAGCTCTTGAGACCCAGGTGGCCTGGTGGGACTGGGGCTGAAGAGCCTATCTCCTACACCTCCTCTCTCAGGTCTCCACCCCTCCTTTGTCCCCTCTGGTACTGAACTCAGGGCCTTACACTTGCTAGCCAGGCACCATACACTGAGGCCATGCTTTCAGCCCTTTTCATATGAACACAAAGAGGAGGGTCTTGCTTTATGCCTGGGCTGACATGCACTGATTCTTATAGCCAATTCTCCTCCGTGTGGTTGTGCAGAGGTGTGTCCCCACGGCTGGGCATCATGTGCCTCCACCGTGGCAGGGAACTAGCCACTGGCTGAGAGAGACCCATGCAAACTGTTATGACCAGGCTGACCATACACTGCGTTCCCTTAGCTTATCTCTCTCAAGTAGCTAGGGTTACAGAACTGAGCCATGGTACCTGGCTTTGCCTCCTCTTTTGACGGCTAGCCTGCCCTGTGCAAAACCATGTCAGATTCCATGAGATTGCATGTTCATTCATGTGGCAGCTTCTTTCCTGAGTCCTCAGTGGAGACCCTAGGCCTACCCAACTCAGTAGCAGCAGGGCCAACCTTCAGTCCCTTACAGCACCTCAGCCTGTGCCCACCCACAGCACCCTCAGTCCATGTCCACCACAAGGCCCTCCGTTCATGCCCACCCACAGTGCCCTCAGCCTATGCCCACCCATGGGGCTCTGACAGGTGAGGCACATGGAGAATGGGTCTCCCACAATTAGACAAGAGTCCTGCTTCTTACCTGGGGGAGGACAGGCCTCCGCTCACTGATGGGGAAGAAGGGGGGGTGGGCGAGGCCTCCTTGGCTGCGGGAGATGTGGATGTGGACGGTGGGGTGGAGGAGAGCACGCTGGAGCCCGAGGGGGCCGCGTCATCGGAGTCACCTTTGAGGAGGAGTCACGGGCAGTGGTGAGCCCCTGTGCTGCTCTGGCTGCAGGGAGGGGCCTCTACAGCCCCCTGGGTTAGGGGAAGTGGGCAGACAGGCAGGTGGAGTGGCAGAATGGCTGGTGTGGGAGGCAGGAAATTTTTTTCCCCTTGGCCAGGACTGCTCCTCAGCCTGCTTTGGCCTGAGGCTTCATGGGGCTGGTCACAGGTCCCCAGGACCAGGAGAACACTCTCTCTGGAACCAGTGCATCACCAGGGTGCTGGCACTGTGTGCTGAGGGCTACTCACACAGGCCTCCAAAGGGATCGGTTACCTGATGTGGCTGACGATGGTTCCACAATTCCAACCTTTACAACCTGGAACGTGACAGACACTGGCTGGAGGCAGCTGCATGCATGCATGCATGTGGTCCTCCTGAGCTGCCTTCTGGACCCCCACCTAGGAGCTCTGGGCAGTGGACTCCAGGCTGGCTGGCGCTGCCCAGCCTTTGTACCCATTGGAAGTACCAGGTCTGAGTCACTTCCATCCATGGGGCAGAGCTCAGCTCCGGGCAGGAGCAAAGCCTGTGCCAGTATGACTGCTCAGGTCCAGTCAACTAGCAAGATCAGGATGCTTGCCTGAGGGCTGCTGCTGTACAGGCAGAGGCTGCTTGAGCCCTGTGAGCACATGGGAACAGTGCCTTAGTTTTGTACTGTCCAACGTGGTGCCATGACCCACGATAGAATGAATTATAATGCTCAATTCAGGGCCCTGACTGCACAGTGACAAGTCGCCAACAGGGCACTCCCGTCACTCTCAATGACACCTAGCCTGGGGTGCTCTCCAGGTCCTGTCCCTCCCAGGAGGACGGCCATCATTGAGGGTCACTGGTGGCCACACTACACATAGGTCTCTGCTACAGACGAAACAGTGCTGGGAAATAACACTGCTGGGAGGGAGGCCCCAGTACTGGCAGGGAGAGACAGAAACCTTGGGACTGACAACTACAGCCCAGCCTGAGCAATGAGGTGAGATGTCCTATCTTCTTGTCTGGAAGACAGGGTGGGCCTCCCTTCCTAGACACTGGGCCATCAGTGTCCACAGGCCTCAGCTTTCATGTGTCCACTGATAGGGCCAACACCCCTCCACCCCCTGACCTGCAGGAAGTAAGGGGCTTTAATGGGAACGACCTGGGCAGTCCTCGGCTGGCCAGCATGGTGGGGACGGCTTGGAAAAGTACTCTTGTGAAGGCATGTTGGCAGGCCTGTGCCCCACGGGTGAAGCTGGTAATACTCACCCCAACAAAGGGAATGAATCTCTGGGACGACTCTTCATCAGGGCTGAGAATAAGAAAAACACAGTTATACTCCCCTAGGCACAGCCCGGCTGTGTGCTGTCTTGGTCTGCCTGTCTCCAGTCCCAGCCCACCCTGTGCGCTGGCACTTGGATCTCTCTCTTTTTTTTTTTTTTTGGTTGGTTGTTGGGCTTGAACTCTGGGCCTGGACGCTGTCCCTGTGCTCTTCAGCTCAAGGCAAGCGCTCTACCTCTTGAGACACAGCGCCACTTCTTTGGAGATCAGAGTCTCATGGACTTTTCTGTCCAGGCTGGCTTTGAACCATGATCCTCAGATCTCAGCCTCCTCAGTAGCTAGGATTACAGGCGTGAGCCACCAGCGCCCAGCTTTGGATCTCTTCTGACATGTTAACATGTAGGAAGGGTAAGGGGTGCTGTGCCCATGGTGTGAATTAGGCACCGGGATGAAGAGATATAAACGGTCTGGCAGCTGGGGAGGAAGGCCAGAGCACTCAAGGTGGGGGAGGGGCCAGCACACAGGCGCCTGCCTGCCGCCAGCCTCACCACTCCAGTTCCCGCTCTGCCCAGAGCCGTACATGCCTTACGTGTTCCAGACCCAGAGATAGGAGGTGGCTAGCCCAAAGCTAGAACAATTTCCTCCTGACAGTCACCGGGTGAGGCTGCACATTGAGCTGTGAAGTTGGAGGACACACTAGGTCCTAACAGCTAGTCCTGTGCCAGCTTTGAGGTGGGGTCTCGGTGAGCTGATCAAGCTCGGGGCTGGAGACCATATTGAGTAGAGTTGGCTCTGTGCAGCATCGGCAAAACCACAGCCCTCCACTGCTAAGATGCCGTGTTCAGGAAGGAACCAAGGAGGAAAAAACCTATTTGTCTTCCTTCCCCTGTGTGTCGCCCAGCCAAGGTGGCTATTTTATCTCTACAGAGGCTGCAGACTGGACCAGTCCAGTCCCCCGACAGTCTCAGAGTGAGTTCAGTAGGGAGCAGATGACTGCATTGGCAGCTAGAGAGCATGTCCTTCTGAGCACGGTATCTTGATGGTGTGCAGGGCAGGGCTCGTCTCCTCCACTCCGTCCGTCCCTGCCCACCTCGCCTCGGGCTCCTGGGTTTGCATCTGGAGGTGCCCCTTCACCCAGACGTCAGTAATGCGGAGTCCTCTCTAGGCACCTTTGCTGACTCTTTCTCCACTTTTATTTCCTCAGGCTGGACTCTGATGCCAATGTAGCTCTCGCACATGGAGATAATGCCCCTGGTGGCGAGGAGTGGCAGAATGCTGGGGGTGGGCCAGGGAAGAGCTTCTCTTGGGATTCCAGGGAACTGCCCAGACAGGGGAAGTACACTCACGTACAGCCCCGTGCGGATATTGCCTAGCACTTGATCTCCTAGGTCTTTGCAGGGAGCAGGACTGCGGAGGCCTCTGGCCAGTCTGCCACTGGCCCTTGGCACTGGCTTCCAAGAGCAGCACCTGATTCCCCAGACCCAGGGGGAGGGGTAGTAGGAGCTTGTGTCTAGAACATCTCACACAAATGTGCCCAGGAGCCCGTGCCTGGGTGGGTACTGCCAATGGTAGAGGGCCTCTTTGCCTGATACTCACCCACAGCAGGCCCCCCCATCTCCCCAAAGGTAGCTTGGGAGGACATACCTGCAGAGTCTCCCTTCCCCCGGAAGATGACCCAATTCTTAGCCTTCCTTTCCTTTCTAAGGCAGTGTTTCCAGAGAACCCCCGGCCCCCAATCCACTTCAAAGAACAAACCCAACTCCTAGGCCTGTCATGGCTCTGGCATCCAGAGGCCTCTGGGCCTCATGTGTCACTGGCTCTGCACATAGCCATTGCAATGAGAGACCAAGGTGGGCGTCCACATGTGAGCTGCCACCTGTGTGCTTTGGCAGATGTTTGGAAATCTCAGCAACATCGCGTTCTTCTGGGCCAGGAAGTCACAGAGGGAGGCTGGGTGGAGCTGCTGGTCCCAGTGCTTGAGGAGGTGCCAACCCTCCAGGGCCTCAGGACTATGGCAGAGTGGTATCTTGTCCATGCTCCATGAGCCGCTTAGCGGCAGAGCATGGTTGATAAGCCCACACATGGCCGAGATGCCACAACACAGATAAGCTGCCAGAACTTAAAGCCAAGCTGCACCCTGGGCCATGCAGGCAACATCAGCACAGGCGTGACAGCGTGACACCCACTTGCCACCAAGACTCAAGCCTGACACAGAGGGCAGCCAGCGCCCACAGCACACAAGCACTTCTTCAGGAACTCCGCAGTCAGCAGAGTAAGAGCCACACCCACACCCGCCAGCTAGCCCTCTGCAAAGGAGAGATGGGCAGGCAGGAGTTAGCTGGAGAGCTGGTCATCTGCAGAGCTCTCACAGAACTGGGCTGGAGAAGAGCCAGGCCGGGCTCTGAGGCCTCACTGGTACCCTGCAGTGCCAGGTGGCGTAGCCAGTGCCAGTGTCACCACCAGACCGCAGGCAGGGCAGAAGGCACAAGGAGCTAGAGGGGTCCTCAAGTCTTATTTTGCTGACGGAAGTACACCTGTGGGGGAGCATGCTGGAGAGGAAGGCATGATGGCTGGGCTGGTCTTTCTCCAACTTGAGGGCTTGTTTAGCAGACTGGTGCTAGCTACCATGTCCCAGTGGCCTGAAGCTCCAGCAGGGAGGACTCCCGGACCCATCAACTGTCCCGGGAGCAGGGGCTTCTCAAAGGAGTAGATACCAAGACAGATGACCAAGACAGAAGGCAGGACTGCACCCCAAGGAAAAGGACGAGTGCTGAGGGAGCCTGAGACATCTCAGCCTGACTAGTCCAAGTTTCAAGAGACGAAGTGCTCTTTGGGGCTGAAGTACTTTATGTTTGGGGATCCTAGGGGTCTGGCTGCCTCCCTGGGAACCTATGAAGGCAGGGAGTGCCCTTCCTGTGCCTCTGCAGAGCACATCAACGGAGGCGCGGGCCAGGGGGCCAGTTCCCTGGTGCCCCTCCATGTTCCCCAGGAGGACTGGCACTGCTATCTCCGGGCGGAGGCCAGGCATGGGGAGCAGAGCCCTGGGCGAGGTGTGTGAGTTCAGCCTCAATGGCTGTGACTCCAGCCCAGAGTCTCATAGGCTCTGCACCCCCTGCCCCACTTTGTACGGACTGTGGGTCCCCTACGGGCTCACTGGGCAACAGGGCCAAGGAAGGGGGTCCAGACCCCGAGGGGCACCTTCCTCACTCCCTGGGTATCGGGGAGGGGGGGGACTTGGGTGGTCACTCTGCTAAACAAGCCCTAAAGACCAGCCTGGGGACAGACACAGGTGCAGGCCAGAGAGCTGTACCTCAGGGTAAAGTCAAAGTGAAAGTGCTTTTTCCTTTTCAGAAAGCCACCAAAAGAGAAAACAGATGTGTTACGATGTTCTTGGGAGCTGCGGAAAGCCCCCCCCCCAGCCCCACTGGAGGGGCCCCACCCCTGCTCTGGGGCAGAAGCTGAAGGTGAGCCCTGTGTGGGGACGGCGGCGTTGACATCCCCTGTGCCTCACAGACCTGCCGCCTGCCCTCTGACCTGGGGAAAGGGCTAGGCGTTGTGTAGGTGTTAGGAGGGAGCAGCCTCCCTAGAAGGGCAGTGACATGGCCTTTGCCTTTACCCCCCCACCCCCCACACACCGCCACACAGGTCAACAGGTCTGATCCAAGAGGGGAACGCTCAGTTCCCTAAGACCACAGGTTGGCCCCTGCTTGTGCCAATGGTAGGGCTCTTGCTCAGGGCTACTCAGCTCCTTAGGATGAAGGACCCAGGCCCATGCCAATAGCCCCTGGTCAGGGCAGGCCTCCACCTATGGTTTCTGAACACTGTGGCCAAGGCCACGATCCTGTGAGAGGCCAGAGGGTTAACCAGCCGCCACTAGCTGCATCAGAAAAACTTCACTATATACAAAACTAGGGGCTCTGAAAACCCAAGCTGCTATTCTGCTAGGACTTGGAGTTAGCAGAGCCTCTGTGGACCAGGCCCTCCGAGCTTGAAAGCTTCTTTCCACCCTCACCCTACACACCAACCCCCCAGACAATGCAGCCCATGGCCAGGGGAGAGGCTGCAGCAGGGCGGCAGTGGCCAGGGTCCACCTTGTTACCTCTTCTGCCTGTAGGTCAGCATGGCCTCGGCGATGGGCAGCTGGTGGGCGCAGTTGGCGCCCGCGATGTACTGGGTGATGCGTGACACGATGTCTGGCGTGTCCTGTACTGCAGGAGGAAGTGGCCTGGTGAGGTCTAGGCTGTTCTGGGCCCACGAGCCAGCCCACAGGTGAGGGGTAAGGCTTCTCTCTAAATCCCGAAGGCCTGCCCACCCCTCCAGAAACATCCTACTTGGCAGGAGGGCTGCGGATCAGGCTGCGAGAGGGCAGCTCCGAGAGGCCCACAGAAGTCTCCAGGGGAAGGGGGCCGCACACCGCAGCCAACACTTTCCTCCCCAACACTGGCACCATGCTGGATCTCACCAGTGCTCTGGGTTTCCAGCTTGTTAAACAGGTCTCTCCAGGCCAGGTCCTGAAAGAAGTTGTTGTAGCGGTAGTCCACGGAGCCCAGGTACCTGGCCACAGGGTGGGAACCTGTGAGCCAAGAGCAGAGCAGTCACCACACAGATCCCAGACAACTCCACTGTCCCGAGCGCCTCTGGGGTGGCCTTCCGTGGCCCACTGACGCAGCTTCCCTCACTCGGGAAGGTCCAAGTCAGTCATCGCTCTAGATCTTGTCAAAAAAATCAAGATTTGTTTCCTCGTAAGATAAAGTACATAAATGAAAAAAATTATTGGAGCTACCAAGAACTCAAGCAACCTAAAAGGCCTGTTGTTTCCATTTTTGACCACAGAACCAAAACTGGCATGGATCATGGTGGCTGACTGGGTGACAGCTTTGTCTTCTCTCCCAAACCACTTTTAGGTTTTTTCTTTCTCTTTTCCTTTTTTTTTTGCTAGTCCTGGGGCTTGAACTCTGGACCTGGGTGCTATCCCTGAGCCCCTTGATGCTCAAGGCTAGTGCTCTACCACTTGAGGCACAGAGCCGCCTCTGGCTTTTTCTGAGTAGTGTATTGGAGATAAGAGTCTTACAGACTTTTCTACCCAGGCTGGCTTTGAACCATGTTCCCCAGATGTCAGCCTCCTGAGCAGCTAGGATTATAGGTGTGAGCCACAGGCAGCCAGTCTCGCTTTTTCTTTTTCTTTGTATTTTTCAGGGGACTATGCAGCCTAGGCTGGCCTTGAACTTGCGACCATCCTGCCTCTACCTCCTCTGTGCTGGGACTGTACTCAGCTTACATCACTTTAAATAGTTACCAAAGGGCTGGGAAGGTGGCTCAGTGGTAGAGTGTTTGCCTTGCATGCCTGAGGCCCTGGGTTCGATTCCTCAGCACCACATAAGCAGAAAAAGAAAAAAGCTGGAAGTGGCACTGTGGCTCAAGTGGTAGAGTGCTAGCCTTGAGCTGAAGAGCTGAGGGACAGCACCCAGGCCCAGAGTTCAAGTCCTACAACCAGACCCCCCCCCCACAAAAAAAAGTTACCAAAGCATAAACCACATCTGCCTCCCCAGGAGAAACCGAGTCATGCAGCGGTGCTGGCACCCCTGCCCGCACGGCCGTGGCATTCACCCAGGGGGATGATGAGGAAGCGCATGTAGCCGAGCCAGTCCGGCGTCTTGTGGGACAGCTGCTCCACGAAGAGCCGCAGGATGGCGCTGAGGTAGTGCTGGGCTCCCGCCACGGCGATCTTCACTGGAGTGGGGGGCTGGGAATTGCAGTTGCAGCTGCAACCCCGAGGAAGGGGGGGTGAAAAGGGACAGGACTCAGGGGAACTGTCCCGGGCCCAGGACCACCCAGCTGAACCCCAGGGAAGGCGTGCCCTCAGACGCACTGTTCCCACCCCGTGCAACTACCAAACCCAGATGTCTTGCCACACAAGCCCCGGGCTTCGATGGTGTCTGCCTGGATGGACCCGGGCTGGGGGACAGGAGGTGTGGCCTCTGAAGATGTCTAGGTGGCCACTTGAGACTGCTTCTCCCCTTGTCACGCTTCCCGAGTGCCAGGACACCCACTGGGAATCTGAGTGGAACCTGGTGCAGGAGGCTTGGTGCCTGGCACCCCCAGCGCACCCCCAGCTCAGAGCCTCCACAAGCATGGGCAAGAACGTGAGGGAGGGCCCGCAGACTCACTATCTCTGGATGCGCGAGACAATGGTGCTAAAGGCCGCCTGGACATCTGCGGGGGAGCATGTGCACACCACGGGGAGCGTGTGCCTCTGGAGGACATCTGAGAGGAACTGGAGGGGCAGGCAGGACAGCGGCCTCAGCACAGCGCCTGCCCACCCCCTTTAGCCCCCAGATCAGGCTCCGACTTCAGAGAAATCCACAAAGGCCCCGGCAATCCTGACCGTCACCAGCCCACTCCCTCCTCAGCCACACCACTCTGACTCTCAGTCCACCCAGAGGGTGGGCCACAGAGCTGCCCTCCTACCTGCCCCTGCCAGTCAGAGGTGTTGACCAGAATGATGTTCTCTGGAAGCTGGTCGTCCGAGATGAGGACATGGTTCAGCTGGTCATACACCGTCTTCCTGGGGATCTGGAGACACAGAGGCCGTCCATAACCAGGGGACTCAGGAGCCAACACCTCCCCACCCTGCCACCTCAGGACTTCCTGCCCCCAGAGCTACAAGGCTTCAGTGCAGCCCTGGGCTGAGGTAGCCGCACTCCTGGACAGACTTGAATGGCTAATATGCACCCCAGGGCTGAGAGCTTCCGGGCAAGAGGACCCATGATTAGTGCCCTTGTCTACAGAGGGCCCCTGGGCCAGAAGACCCTCCAAGCTCACCAAGTACCCATCGTCTCCAGAATCACTCCAGGCTGCTCTGCACCCTCCCTGCTCTGTGCACACACCTGCGATGTCCCCACACACGCTCCCTGTGCTGTGCACACACCTGTGATGTTCCCACACACCCTCCCTGCTCTGTGCACACACCTGCGATGTCCCCACACACGCTCCCTGCTCTGTGCACACACGCTCCCTGCTCTGTGCACACACGCTCCCTGCTCTGTGCACACACCTGTGATGTTCCCACACACGCTCCCTGCTCTGTGCACACACGCTCCCTGCTCTGTGCACACACCTGCGATGTCCCCACACACCCTCCCTGTGCTGTGCACACACCTGCGATGTCCCCACACACGCTCCCTGTGCTGTGCACACACGTTCCCTGTGCTGGGCACACACCTGCGATGTCCCCACACACATTCCCTGTGCTGTGCACACACCTGTGATGTCCCCACACACGCTCCCTGCTCTGTGCACACACCTGCGATGTCCCCACACATGCTCCCTGCTCTGTGCACACACGCTCCCTGTGCTGTGCACACACCTGTGATGTCCCCACACATGCTCCCTGCTCTGTGCACACACCTGTGATGTCCCCACACATGCTCCCTGCACACACCTGTGATGTCCCCACACACGCTCCCTGCTCTGTGCACACACCTGCGATGTCCCCACACATGCTCCCTGCTCTATGCACACACGCTCCCTGTGCTGGGCACACACGCTCCCTGTGCTTTGTACACACCCTCCCTGCTCTGAGCACACACCTGCACCGTCCCTACACACCCTCCCTGTGCTGGGCACACACCTGCAGCTGGCTCCGTGTGTCTGGGCAGCGCTCGTTGTCCAGACTATTTGCTCGCTCGTTCTGTGGCCGGGCAGGCTGCCGCTCCTTCAGGGATGTGCTCCGGCCTCGGCGGCCAGCTGGCTTGACCTCAGGCCTGCTGGGAACCAAGGTAGGCCAAATGGGGCAGTGGAGGTAGAGGGCAGGGAAGGACAATCGCATTGTTACCGATCTGAATAGGGTCTCAGTGCTCAGCTCTTTCTCATGGCTAGGGGAGAGGGGAGGAGGGAGCCCATGCAGGATGTGGACTGTCAAGAGTCACTGCACCAGGGTCTGACCCAGGTCCCTGTGACCCCTGCTGGGAAAATGATGGTGTACAAATTCCTGCTTCAGGAGAGTCCAGAATATCATAGTGATGTGCAATCCAGCCTGTGTATAGAGGGCGGACCTCCAATTTTGAGCTCTTCAAAGGGTCAGAGGCCATAGCATATATTGAGGAAAAAATCCAGGGCTGTAAACTTCCTGTGCACACCGTGCTGGGGTTTGAATTCAGAGCCTTGTACTCTGCCCAGTTTTTTCACTCATAGCTGGTGTTGTAGCACTTGAGCCATGCCTCCAGTCTGACAGTTTGTTGCATAACGTTTTTTTGGTTTTTTTTTTTGTCAGTCATGGGGCTTGAACTCTGGGCCTGGGCACTGTCCCTCCGCTCTTCAGCTCAAGGCTAGCACTCTACCACTTAAGCCACAGCGCCACTTCTGGCTTTTTTTTTTCCAGCTTTTCCACTTGTGCTGCCCAATCACCTGGGCAGTGACACTGGGGGGGGGGGGAATGGGACAGGGGACTGACTGGGGCCACACCTGGTAGAGGGGATGACCAGAGACTCTGTCTTGGTGATCCTCCCACTGGGCGGCAGCCTCTCAGTGAACACATCCAGGGTGGAGGTCTCAGCCTCTGGGCTGTCCTCGGGCGGCACTGCTGGTTCTCGTGGGTCTGATACACCCTGGAAAGAAGGAGGAAGCGGTGTGTGTCTGCCTAGTTAGGAACACACGTGCGCACATGCACTCGAGCACAGAGAGCCTCTCGTGCCTGTGGGGCCACAGGCTTAGAGGAGGGGCATGATTAGGCCTTCTGCATCCCTGGTCCAGTATGTGGCATGGCCACATACTACAGCTTCCAGCTAGGGAACTCAGTTCAGCTGCTGCCAGGAGACCAGGGCCAAACCTGCCTGAGACCTGGCTCTAACACACAGGCACAGTGCCCCAGCATCTCCAAGAATACCATTCATGAGGGCAGCAGGAGCAAACGCTCTAGTGAAGCTGGGTACACAGCAGGCAGAGCCCCCAGACTGACTGGCAGCTTGGCTATCTGCCGTGGGCCCAGGGCAGCCCGAGGACAAGGAGCTCCCAGTGGAGCCACTGTAAATTGGTGGCCCATGCACACAGGCAGGCTGGCATGACCCTGGCAGCACACTTACAGGAGTCACCGTGTCAGAGATGCTGTCACTTGGCTGCTGGCCTCCCGGGGACCGTGTCTTCTCAGGGGCATCTGCCTGGGGAGGGCAACAAGATGGGGACACGGTCATGCTGGAGGGCAGGTGCTGAGGCACTCCTGGCAAGGGTCTGAGGAGGCTGCAGGCTGTAGGCTAAGGGTCATCCCAGAATGACCAGCTGCTGTTGTGCAGGGCACAGCCCAGCTTCACCAAGAATACTCTTACTGGTGTTGGCCTCGCATAGCCCACGTCACTCAGGACGACAGGTAGAGTGAGAAAGACCACGCCCAACCCAAGGACCCGGCTGCTGTGCAGCACAGCCTTACTCACGGGGCTTGGAGGCTCTCTATGGCTCCGGACACTGTGGACGCTCCCGATCTCCGTTTGTGAGCTGGAATGAGACAGGCCTTCGAAGTACGGCCTGGTTCAGGGAGGGGTTATTCTCCAGACTGCCCCCCACAGCACACAGACAGGCAGCTGGTGAGAACCGAGCTAGATCGACAGAAAGTGCTGACACTCGGGGAAGAGCCTGGGGAGCACACCCACCCTCGGGGATCTGGCACGAGAAAGTGGAAATTCGGAGGGAATCCTGACCTGCGCACCAGGTCAGGCAGGCACGTCCACCTGCTGTGAGATCAGCTGCAAAGTGTCTGTTCCTGAAAACCTGTCTGTCATGGCCTTAACCAGGGCCAAGCTGCCAGCAAGACAAGGTGTGAGCGCCAGCCCCACTGCCACAACCCTGCCGTGGGATGCTCGTGTGGTAAGCACAGGGACTCTGCAGGACTTAACCAAGGCACCACTGAGGATCCAGGCGCACCCTGGTGGAGACCATCAAGATCAAAGAGGCCATTCCAGACCAATCAGGCTATCCCAAACAACCCAGAGATCAAGTAGGTCATCTCAGACCCGTCAAGACCAATCAGGTCATCCCAGACCACACAAAGACCATGCAGAAATCAACTCGGCTATCTCAGGTTATCCAGACTAACCAGGTCATTCTAGACCATGCAGACCAGCCAGTCTATCCCAGGCCATCGCAACCAGATCAGATATGGATCAAACATGTCTATCCCCAGCAGGAAATATGAGGGAAAGAGAGAGGAGAGGAGAGGGAGAGATAAAGAGGGAGAGAGAGAGAAGGGGACAGAGAGAAGAGGGAGAGAGGGGAGGAGAATAGAGAGGGAGAGAGAGACACAAGAGACGTAAAAGACATTCAAGCTGGAAAGTTCTGCGTGTGGCAGCTGGCACACCCACCTAGATGTGAGGGTGAGGAGAGCTAAAGACACAGGTGCCACACATGTGCGATCACTCAGAATCACAGTCCCAAGGTACCCAGGCCTCACTTTAGAACATGGGCTGGCCAATGGCATAGAGCCCAGATCCACTGCAAACAGAGAATCCATTCAGGCAGAGAGGAGGGATACGGCGGAAGGGACAGATGCATGTGAGGGGTGCACTGGCTACAGGGGTGTAGCTGCCAGATGGTGAGGATGACATTCCACTGGGCAAGAGCTGCGCTGGGACTCTGTCCTGCTGCTGTAGGAGGTCAAGCTCCACACACGGGAAGAGTCAGTGGCAGGGCCTTCACCTAAGCCTAGCAACACAACAGGCAGAGAACAGGGCTGAGCCATCCAAGAATGAGGACCATAATAGGGTTCTTTTTTTGTTTTGTTTATTTTGTCGGTCGTGGGGCTTGAACTCTGGGCCTGGGCGCTGTCCCTCAGCTCTTCAGCTCAAGACGAGCGCTCTACCACTTGAGCCACAGCGCCACTTCCAGTTCGAAATAGATGTTTTAAGTTGCACATCTGTGGTCCTGTCACAGCAGCCACAGGGCCATGTCATGCCACAAGTAGGCAGCAATAGGAGGCAGGGTTAACGGTACTCTTGCTTCTAATGACTTAGGAAGCCCACCTTTCTTATGTGTGCTTCTGTCTGTTTTAACTTTAAATGCTCAAAAACAACAAACCTCTTTAACCACCGGGGTTTCCCTGACCTCGCAGCCACAACAAAGGCCCAGGCCATACACAGTTACAAGCTGGCGCCACCTTGGCCTGAGATCCAGGTTCCCTGGTCCTGAAAGGGTCTCTAGTAAACATGAGTAGATTGATCTGTTTTCTCCTCCAGACCAGGCTGAGCTGCCTTCTCCCCATTCCCATGAAGGAGGAGTTCTGCTGAGGCTCCCATCTGTGGCCGCAGGTCAAAGTCCCTCCTAAGAAGGGGGCCTTGGGATTCCACTGTCATCCACAGCCCCACACCCCACCTGGCCTCTGGCTTGCCAGAACCTCCTAGCTGAAGCCCTCTTCCTGTCACTCCTTAGGTCCTGCTCTATGTGAGAGCACATGTGGTCAGGTTATGTTTTTACACCTGTCCCACAGAAGATTCCAGATCAGTTCCCTGCCAGGATCAGGAGTCACTTGTCCTTCTGTAGGTCCAGACGCATGCTCCACCCTCTGCTCCTCCCTGCAGTGATCAGGTCGGCCAGGCAGGCACTTGGCCATCCCACAAGGCAACACAGAGGCCCCTCTGCTAGGCTCATCGGATATGAAGGTGCTAAGGACCTGTGGCTCGCAGCTGTAATCCCAGCCACTTGAGAGGCTGAGACCTAAGGATCACGGTTCAAAGCCAGCTCAGGCAGGAAAGTCTGTGACACTCTTCTCTCCAATTAACCATCGGAAAGCCAGAAGTGGAGATGTGGATCAAGTACTAGAGCACCAGCCCACAGTAAAAAAAAAAAAAGCTATGTGACAGTGCCAGGCCTTGAGTCCAAACCCTAATACTGGCACAAAGAAACAAAAATCGGCCCGGCCCGGCCCGGCCC